ATTTTTGAACATTCTGAGAAAATCATGTTTTTAATTTCAAAACGTAATACATTTTGCCTGTATGCCTAAACTTCCGGTTGTTACTCTCGACTAATTTGTTTTTTTCCCTGGTTCGAGCGCATAAAAGATACAATACATCAATACAAATACAAATTTGGTACCAAAATCTCGTTTTCAACAAAAATCGACATTGATCTTTTTTCCCCGCAGCCCTTCATTTGTTTTATGTGTATTTGTCTAAGACGGTGGCAGATAGTGGTAGCAATGCAAATGTCAAAATGCAAACGACAATTGACACCTTTAGGTGGATCGTTTTCGGATGTATCCATGTTTTTAGATTTTTGATAACGTTTCCGACCCTTTGCAGAAACCATCTACAGAGCGATTGTCACTGTTCCGCTGTTGTGACTCTACTGACATCAGAAAAATCAATTTATAGTGTTATGTTTTAATTTTACAATTTTATCGATTATATTTAACTTAAGTAGGTATACAGCTATATTTTTGGTCACGGGTAGAAAGGGCTTAAGTCAATTTTTCACAAAAACATTTTTTTCCGTAGATTTAAAGATTGAATTTTGCTGATTGTTTTGGTTCAATTGGCATAATTTAGTGACGAATATTACTCATATTATTGAAGAATATTCGTGGTGTAATACTATAACGTGTAGAAATTTTTAAACTTTCAAACGGCTGTCTTGAAAAGTTGATTAAATTGACTTAAGCCCTTTCTACCCGAGACCAAATTTATGATAATAATGTTTAATACTTGTATGATTTTTAAGTGGCCTAAATATCGTGTTTTTTTTTGTGATAACACCGATTTTCGGGTTTCCATAACTATAGTTGATATATTAATATTTGGTCGTCGTACACGACTAATAATGTGCTTAGCGATGGACAAAAGCAAAATCGCCAAGTCGATAAATAAACAATATCTATGATTTTTACTTCTACATTAACTCGATCAATTTTTTTGTATTGTTTTTTTTTTATGACTTTTTAAATGGATAACAGTGATTGAAACTCGCTGGATTATCGATGCCCGATTGTGTTTACCGAGACCGAGAATTTTTGAAAACGGTACGACGATTGTTGGATAAGCATTTGTCAACCAATCCAATACAGGTATGTTTTTATATTAAAGTTTATTCAAATAGTAATTATTATTTAGTACAAATTAGGAAAATATTCAAACAACATACAACTTTCTTATATTCGTTTAATATTAATTCATAGTTTTAACAGTAATCATACAAAAATTAAAAACATGCGTAATATACACATTATATTCAAATGGTTTTTCGGTTTTAAACACAACATACTTTGCTCGTAAACAGTTAACTCTATTAAAAATAAATGACAAATTATATTTTCAATACCAAATAGTTTGACCTGATGATAAAATATAATTAATTCCATACATGGTTGGTAGTCATTGTATAGATTTTTGGATAATTTTTTTTCTGGCACTTTTATTTGAATACCACTTAGTTTATAAGCCAAAAACGTTTCATAGCATGTGAGTGAAAAGTTTTTGTTTTTTTTTTTTTAATTATTGATTCGTCTTTTAAATACATTTATCTCCGACAGTACCAGTAGCCAGAGTTTGTCGATAACTTGACTTTGAGATAATTTCTTTCTAATTACCTGTTTTACAACATTGCCAAGTTTGTTCGTCATACATGATTAGTAAGTCGCTTAGTAACTGAAAATCAAAATTGCCTGGTCGATAAATAAACTGTAAACAACAACCATTAATTTTGTTTTGATGTCAACTGTTATCTTTTCGTAACAAAGTTAAATGTTTTCTTCAGAAATTTCTTTTACATTTATTTTTTTGATGTGACCATCTTAATGGAGAACAGTGATGGCAAAGATTTAGAAAACAGAATTGTCCAGAAGTCGAAATAGCATTTGTCGAGCAACGGGTATCGTTTTATCGTGAAGTACAAAAAGAAGCGCTCATGTCTTGGTCGTGTGATCCATTGAGGACGGCAGTAAAAAATTGTTACTATTTAGTTGTCTTACGTATTTCCGAAGAATAACAGCAGTCAATTATTAAAAAACTACTTAAAAAGCCGAGATGGGGTATGACTACTATAACGGGGTATGTTACAACGTACAGCCTAGAGAACTGACTTTTTTTTAAATTTTATTTGTAATTATTTTACTCGGTCCAGGCAAACTAAATCTCGGGCAACGCCGGGTCGGGACAGCTTGTATTAAACTAAATACAAACAAATTATTTTAACACAATTTGTTTACAACAAATACAATGATATTACAAATGTATAGTCAATGGCAGTTTTAATAACAGAAGAGAAGTCAGAGGACAACACAATACGATGGGGTAGATGATCGACGACGGACCATTGAAGAAGTTGTAGGAAAATCTAGAGTGTGTCTTGGAGTTCGGTGCAACGTATTTTAAGTGACGATTTGGGAACGAGAAGGGTGGCTGCAAAATTTGTTCCTCGACTGCTGACTGCACAGCAAAAAGAAGGTCGTGTGGAAACATGCAAAAAGAAGATTTCCGAAAGGACCCAAACTTTTTTTCCAAGGTCATCACAGGTGTCGACGAATCTCGGTGCTATGGATACGATTCTGAAACCAAGCAACAGTCAAGTCAATGGAAGACTCCAAATTCGCCTCGCCCCAAAAAAGCTCGTCAGGTGAGATCCAACATTAAGGCAATGCTCATTTGTTTTTTTGATGTTTGACGTCTTCGAGCAAGGTGTTTTGATTATCTCTAGGGGTATGATTATTTAGATCAGTCGGATTATTTTCCGTCGGTCTGTTTTCGTCTGTTTGATCTTCAGTGAAGACTGATTTCGTTATGATCCATGATGTATAATTTTTTTTTTACCTACCTTAAAAGGGACACATTTTGTTTCAATTTTCACAACACTGCAACAACTTTCGGGATCGTCTTGTAGTTTGTACCATCATCATTTATCAGTAACTGGTTCTTGGATCAGTAGAAATTACTGATACTTATCTTCGTAAAGTCTCTACAAAGGGTAATAAATATCATACGAATAAATAAAACAAAATACAACGTGTTGTATTAAATTATAATTATTTTGTAATAAATAAAACAAAAATCGTGCTCAATATATGATGGGAAATTACACAATGTATTTATAAACAACCTGTTTACACGTTGCCTGGATATATACATCACAAATGTTTATTAGCGAAAAATAATCAAATACAATAATGTCACTGCACTTCAATAATATGCCAAAGTGGCTCTAAATTAGACCCTAAATAACCAAATCCGTTCTTCGGTTTCAGAGATCTGTGTGACTTGAGAAAAATTTAGTTAAAATTGACAATTATTTTGATGTAAAAAACTTAAATATTTTTTATTAACTTTTTTGATTATTTTTTTGTATTTTCTTGACATGCTCTAATACACTTAATATCAACCTTCTTATATCTTAAGAGGAAATTGAAATTTAAGCGCTTATAATAATATGTAACACACAGTTGTGTTTTAAATTCAAACAATTATTGTATGGGTGTGAAATCTAATCAACCTGTACATTATCTTATAATAAAGCTAAGACAACTATTTCACTGTGTGTAGCTTTTTTCCCTAATCACAAGAAACTTAGTTAAATATCAAGTAACATCGAATTTATTATCGTTTCAACTACTGTACATACTTCATTTTTTTGAAAATCAAGAAAGTAAACAAATTTACCAAATATATATTTCGTTATAGTGATTCATTTGAAACTATTTCCGAAAAAAAACTTATTAGTCGATGGGCCCTTACTTACAAAGTTTCCTTTTTTTAAAGTTGTTGTTCGCGACTACCTTGTTGATATTGAAAGTTGTCATCTATAATATCGATCATAATATCCATGTCAACAATTAAATTTATTTTTTTTTTTAAACATAACCATTTGTATATTATATATGACAATATTTTTCTTCGAGTCGATAAATAAATATTTATTTGATTGTATAATTCGAAATTTTAGATTTGAGCTGCAAACATATTAAACTTTAATTATTATTTAATTACAAAAATAAATTTAATTGAAAATTTATATAATTTAAACATTAATTGGACAACAAATATATAAATAAAATCATTGATTGACTCTCAACCTCGCTTATTAACATATATACATATATATCCTGAATAAAACTGATTTACGATATCAGAACTCTTGGATCTCCGAATGAAAAAACCTGTAAAAGAAAATCAAAATAAATGTTTATAATTATTGAAACGTTATAAAACGCTATAAAAACTTTCAAATAAAATCTTCGAAAAATAATTGCTGTAAAGACTATTATTATACATGTTTAAATTATTTTATAGATGAAAAAGGTGTTTGTAATCTTGTTTATCGATTACATATTATTAAATTTATTTACAATCATCACTGTCAGTGTGTAGCATTTTTGTTTTTCCTATTCATAACAAGCTCTTAAAGTTATTATTCAACTAGTGAGTATTAATTTTATATATATATATATATATATAAAATACAATATTGACACATATAGTGTTATATAATTTTTATTGTTTTTTAACTTTAAAAAATTAAAAAATCGGGTAGTACTTGGCCAGATATATTGGAAGATATACCAACCAGTACGCGCTAATACAATTTTTTTTTAAATTATGATTTAAAGCAAACCGAGCAAATCTGTCCTTGATCAAGTATGTATACAGACATGTGGTCGGTACGCGGCTTTAAAACGTGCTTAGTCAAATCGTGGACTTGATCAATTATAAAAAAAGAAACACAACAATAACTTTAATAACACTATAATTGACTTAATAATAATGAATTTATCTAATTAATTGGCATGTGTAAAGAGATCTTGTCTATAAAAATCTTGCTTCACGGTTAGGTCTTAATATTGAAAATCCAAACTAATATATAGCTCTTATGTGTTATTATTACGATGGTTAGCATAAACAAAAGTCTCCAAATGAAAAACTGTAGTTTCCAGATGTAATTACAAATAGTTTAATAGAAGTACATTCTAGGGTCGTATTCCCATAGTATCTCAACAAACGACACATTTTTATTTTTGGTATTTACCTCCTCCTCGTTTATGCTTGTCAGTACTGACATCAGTTCATCAGACTCAGTTGAGTCTGATACCGTCTGAAAAAAAACCGGTAACGTTACAAAAAAGTTGTATAGGTACACTACTATTATTGTTGTTATTTCACATATCATTTGGCTATACCCGTTTCACTCTTTGATATCAGTTCATTTTTTCTTATATTTTCGCCTTGTTATTAGCGTGTGTTCGACTATATTGCCGGGAAAATGTTAGATACTACAATATAGCCATATATGGTACTACTAATAATTTGTTTTCAGTGATTGTTATGAGTTTACAATAAATTGGTGTTTTTTGTCTTTTGTATAAATATTTTAATAAAAGGCTAGAGAGCTTAAAAAAGACTGGGAAATTTGTCTTTTATGATTTTATTTTATTATATAAAGTATAATTTAATAATGCTAAGATTTGTCTTGAGTTAATAATAATTATAAAAGAATAGTTGTGTATTTAAAAAAGTAGTATGTAACCACATTGTATTTAACAGAAGTTTATTAATTCTCCAAAATAAAATTTTACCATTTGTGTTTTGTCTATTCTCTATACACAATATAACCAAATTAAAATTTATATAGCAGTGAATTTAAGCTTGAATCACCGGGCTCTAAAAATAATCATTAATTGCTATATTAATTATCTATTTTTAGCTAAAACAGTAACATGTAAACTCATGAACGCCTCCACTGAAAGTGTGAAACAAATGTTCATGTTTTATATGTAATAGATTAGTTTAACAAAAACGGGCTCTCATATTGAATCAAGCAAAATTACATAAATAATACCTTATAAATTTTATACAGCTACTTTATTTTTAAACTACGTTGTAAGCCGATAAACACAAAAAAGCCAAATAAAAAGAATATTATACTTAAATATTCTAATTTCTAACTAATGACTTTTAAAACGATTTGTAACGATTTGAACATTTTTAAGAAAATAATTTTTTTTTAAATTTAAATTTCATTTGTTTTATTTAATATTTAACAGCAGTTGTTGACAAAATTAATTTTCAGATTATTATTATCGTATAACTTAAATGTGTTGTATGATTTTTTTCTTGTTTTTCATAGATATTTTATACAAAAAGTCTAAATAAGGTAAACGATATAAACGATACAAATAATATAATTTTTTTTTTAATTGTGGTATGAATTATTCACCCTTTTTGTTTTTTTTAATTTTGTAGACTAACTTTAGAATCGGTAAGCATTTTACAATATTTTATTAGGCTGTTTTTATGCTTGGTTCTTTACTTTTGGTGTATAAATCATAGTTAGTTTAAGAGTTTTTTTTTTTAAAAATCGTTTGTTTTTCACATTGCAAAGAAATGATAAAGTTATTTTCATTTTTACAATTAAATAGAAGACTTGTACATTTTATTATAAAATTTACACCATTATGCTTCCATTGATTATAACAAGATTTTTGACAAATTATTACATTTCATTTTGAATATATACATTGTTATTTAAATTAAGTATCGCAAAAAGAGAAAACATTTTTACAGTATAGTCTAATCAAATGATTTTGTTGATTCTCTTATACACGTATAAACAAAATGTACCATCACATAAGACTTAACCTGTTTTACTTTCATGCTTTATCTAATCTGTGGTACTATTTATCGAGTACACAATTTATTTATTATTATTAATTATTTTAATATTATTATTAATTTATTAATTTTTTTTTTTTTATTAACCATATTTGATAGGTTTTTAAGAACCAAATTTCTTTTTTATAAAAATAGGTGTGATCTTGAACTAATTTGTATTATTTAATTTAGAATATTCTTTAAAAGAGCCATTCCCTGCTATAATTTAATAAAGGTGCATTGAAAAAATGTGAATCAGAAATGTAAAAAAATGCATGTAAACCACAAACATACGTGTTGCTTTGTTGTATTAAATCGCTAGCGTACACATATTTCCATTCCTCGAGTTAAACTCTAACGAATTTCGTTACCGAACTCGTCGGTCGATTATTTGGTTGATTCCCACCCTATCTTTTGAATCGTAACGGACATTCCAAATTTTAAAAGTCTCATTAGCAGCACTCCTGTTGGTTATAACAAAGTGTATATACCGAACTACTTGTGGGTGAAACCACAATTCTTGAACTCCTTGACAATTATAATTTGAATGATCAACAACACGCACCCAATCTTGCCCATCGTTTGAAACTTCAATGTAATAAGAGTAACGCCTAAAATATCAAATAATTCGAATAGCTTTTAGAATAGTGATTTGTAAAAAATTAAATAAAATTAAATATTAGGAACAGAGTTGTGGAAAAGTACAAATTATATAACATAATACAATTTAATTATAAACAAAACAGATCCGGTATCTTAAAATACAGTTAAATCATTTTTATAAAACCACATATTTAAAAATAACAATTTTATGAGACAATAACTTATACCACACTGTCCACATCAAATCTTTATATATCTGTATAAATAATACTATAATATATATAAATATGTGATGTTGTTCAATATCTATATAAGGTATAGATATTTAATATAACCGAACATTCATTAATTTAAAACAATAAGCTTTAAATAAATATTAAAATACAACTAAAACTCTAAAAAGTACTATTTTCATTACTTTATTTTAATTTAATAGTTAAAATCTGAACTGGTATGGTATCAATAATAATAAGAACTTTTTCTAGGTTCTCTCGTCGATACTATTAACCCATCATTCACAATTTATGTTTTAATTCTGACATTTTTTTAAACTTTTTTAAGTGCTTGTAAATTAAAGTTTTCCATAAAGACTTTCAATGAACAAAGACTGTCGTGAATGGTCTCGTTCCTGTCTTCAATGTCAACGAAGCAATGTCTCTAAACGCATTTCTGCGCCATTTGATAATTTTACTGTTCCACCACATGTACACGTCGACTTAATCGGTCCCCTTCCCTACTCGAACGGATTCAAATATTGTTTAACTGCAATAGATCGGTACATCAGATTGCCGGAAGCTACACCTTTACAAGACACATGTGCTGAAATTGTCGCTAAAGCACTCGTTTTCTCCTGGATTGCGGGCTTTGGCGTTCCACTTCAAATAACTACTGACAGGGGACGACAAATTCGAATCTCAACTTTTCCAGTCACTAGCTAAACTATTCGGTATTTACTTGTCTAGGACAACTAGTTATCACCCACAATCAAACGGTCTTGCTGAACGTTGGCACCGCTCTCTTCAGACTTTGTGGCAATTCTCCGAACCGTAATTTCAAAACTCCGTCCCGTTCCTGGATCACGTCACTCAAAAGGTCAAATTTTCCTTCATCGAGATCTAGCAACATGCACTCATGTCATGCTACGCACCGATTTAGTTAGAACTTCTCTTCAGCCACCTTACACCGGACCTTATCCAGTTCTAACCCGTGGTGACAAGACTTTCGACATTTTGGTTAAGGACAAGTAGTCGACCTTATCCATTAACCGCCTTACTTCATCACAAGCCCACCAATTCAACTCAACACTTCCCGGCCAAACCTGCCGAAGAAGAACTTTCTAGCTCACCCATTGACGATGCCACGTCCACTAACAGACCTTCGGCAACAACTCGCTCAGGTCGTCGTGTTCGTTTAACCAAGTTCTTTCAAGCATAGCGACAAATAATTTATTTTATTTTAAATAATGACCATTTCAGTATAAAATATTTTTGTTAGTTTAAAACATACTTATGTAAGTCAGTGAACCGTGCGTTGTACAACGATATTTCCAAAAAGTTTACAAATGACGGAGTAACCAACTTTATCATATTAGTACCGAAGTCGTTATTTGAAAGCGAAAAACCCTGAGACTGATGAATGACATTCAAATCGGGAAGTGGACAACTATGATACTCACAAAGAATATGCACATTGAGTTCTAAAAAATTGAATAATTAAAACCAACAAATTTTGCGAAATACAAATTAATGTGTACAACAAGCATACTTAGCTGTCCCCGAATTTGAGGCTTATCTTGTGGCCACGTGTTTCTTCTTAATTGCATGGCAGCTGAAATTAAATCCGATCTAACCAGTTGTGATTCCCTAGCTTGAGACTGTTCTTCAGCACTCATTATCGGATACCTGACGGCCGATAAGACTTTGATATTAGTGTCACGTTCCACTTCGTTTTGATTTTTATTGACCCAGCGACAAACCGCACGAAATATATCCAATTCGTGAGCATAAAACGAGTCACGATCGAGAATTTCTTGAAGAACTTCCTAAAAACAAAACAATTGGTTCTCAACTTTTCACCTAACATTAGCAATATTATTATTATTTTTTATTTTTTTGAAAAAATATCATTACAGATGACAAATCCATAAATTCATAGGATCTCAAAACTTCCACAGCGTTGTCGTCGATAAATTTGAGTAATTCGACTTCGAGCTCCTTGTTTTCATAATGTCTTGTCAAATCAAGGAACGTACATACATTGTCTATGTTAATGCTTCTTTGAAAATACTCGTTCAGTGAAAGTTTTAATTGTAAAATCCCAAAATAATCCGAAAGCTTATGTAATTTTAAAATTTCTTCATCCTGAAAAATAAATAATAACAGATCGAACACATACTAACGGCCAAACGATCACAAATAAAATTATATTTATGCCGTTTAATAACCGCTAAGCTGCGTCGATTATTCGATACCTCAAAATCACTTAAATGTATTCGGCCAGTATAAATATATTCAAGAATTATTTTAAATGAGTTTATTGATACATCTTTTATGTACACATACAAATCATAGGTTTCTGTACCACCTCCAAAGAATAAGATCCTAAAAATAGTACACTATATTACTACAAACATTAAATTATGGAGTTAAAAAGATAAAAATTATATCTTTCTCAAATGTTATCTAGATAATTGTACTCTACCATTTTCGGGATAATGAAACCATTTGTTTTGAGTGTCCAAATATATAAAACAAGTTTTTTTTTTTAATTTTAAATACGTCAAAATAATTAAGGCGGTAACAGCGTTAAAAATTAGTGAAAGTACCTATTTAAAAAAATAGGGGTCTCATTTTAGGTCACAATCAAGTGTAAACTATTGTGAACTAAAAAAAACAAATAGTTTCATCCGCTCTAGAAGAAAGGCCTAAAGAAATATACTTAATGATAAGAATAAAATACCTAAAATATTCACTTCGTGAGGCTAGTATACTACGATGGGCGCGTAGTTCTTTTCCTTGTACAACCAAAAAAACGTCTGAATAACTAAATAAGTCTTGAAATTAATTAAAAATACACACACGAACATAAAAAGTAGTAATACATTTTGTATAATATCTAACTAAGATAGTTGGCTAATAAATGTGTCTTACAATTAATATGCTTCAATCTTATCTTAGTCTCTACCCAGTACTTACTTTAAATAAAATTAGAATTAGCTAAACGAGACACACTTCCAGTTTACTTTCATCATCTTTCACAGGTACAACAGATTAAAATTTTAACAGAATATAAATTAATTTGGGCTATAGGTAGTATTAATAAACTGTATATAAGACGTTCTTGGAAAATTAGTAAAATAATAAAGTTAATAGGTACAAATTCAATAACGCATACCTGCCGCTTTGATAGAGGTTGCCTATGTCGCTGATCAATAAGTCGGTGTGGTCGATTTCATTACCACTTGCTTTGGAAGACGAAGCCTTGGAAGACCTAGGCTGCGCCATATAACCTTCAAATCAGAACATGCCAAATAAAATTAACAAAACAGCTGATTTATGGGACGAGTGTATGATTCAGTTATTCGTGTAGCATACACCCCCCCCCCCCCCCCGATTATACATTATTCAACCTTTACAAAATAGTCTGATTACAATAATTTGTTTTCGACGGAAAGAGGATGAATTCTTTCAGGCCACATTGGACGTCATACATTTTCAATAAAGCGTTTTAATTTGCTGTTTTGTTTCGAAACTCATTAGTCTATCTATTATTACTATTGAGCAAACAACAAAATACATTAGTTAGCCTTAAGTTCCATAGTAATTATGTACATAACTTGTCGTTTATAGTTTGCTGCAATTGAATTATAAATAAATAAATCATTTGTACATTAATAAAACGTATTATTTACCTGGACTTGACCATAAAATAATAAATGCTAAATAATATATCTGCATAGTGGTATAATATAATATCAAATGTTGAACACTTTAAAAAAACCACTATAAAGGAGACCGCGACAACTGTGATTGAACACTAACTTAATTATATAGATTTATTACAATAGCGTTTAACATTTTTCTACACTTTACGGGATATATTTTTTAAGAATCATTGTGTGTACATAGAGTGTACGACTATTTTGTATAGGCGCGTGCTGTTGTCCTATATTGTCGAACATCAAACACAGATTTCAGCTGATATCAGTTTTGTAGTACAAACGACGAGTAATTCGCTCTTACAATTTCTTTTTTTAAATTATGAATGTACGCTACAGATTAGTTTTTAAGATAAATCTTCTATATATAATTATTATTAATTATATTATATTTAATATATGCTCTATGTACCAATTTTATAATATTAACGCGATTACTGAAAATAGTTTTTGGAAGATGCTCGGCCAGCTAGTATATTAAGAAAATCATACGTTTAGATAACATACATTGAGATACTATATGTGAGATACTGTTGTTGGATCAAAATATGTACAGTCCAAATAACTAAATTTATTTTATAAAATAAACATAAATACATTTTTATTTTCAGTCCAAGGATAAGGCTAAGGACATATTATAAAAAAAATGATCAATATTTTAACAAAGATTCATAAAATAAAAAGTTCAAAATAAAGGCTTTCTATCGATAAAGAATTTAAAGAAACAAATCAAATGCCCTACTGCGAAAAACACAATAAATACAGAAAAATAACAAAAAATATATATGAACAAAAAAAATTACTCGAACTTCAGTACGGAATCTTTTATTTATTTATTTTTTTGGTTATTTCTTGTTGTTATGAAATATTTATCAAACAACGGTTAAGTAGGTAATATATTATTATAATTAATATAATAAATAATTTATAATATTTTTAGCTAAAACAGTATAATCTAACTCATGGGTTCCTAGAATAATATTGTAATTAAAGTGAGGTGCCTCGTCCCCGCGCTTTTGATGATACCAATAACTATTGCACCTTCTGGATAAATGTTTAGCAAGCCTTAGACACAGTATTCTATGTCGGTGAACAGGATCAACATTTGAGTCATTAACCTCTAAAATTAGTAGCAATAGTGTGGAAGAAATCATGAATTATAATAAACATAATGCTTTCAGAAATATTGGATTGATAAAATGTATTTAAAGAAAACTTGCCTCCAGTATAAATTATATAACATAATACAATCTATTTATAAACAAAATAGTTCCGATACCTTAAAATACAGTTGAATCATTTTTATAAATACGACATATTTAAAAAAAAAATTGTATAAGACAATAGCTTATACCGCGTCACATCTTTATATATCTGCACATAACCGGAAAAAGCGTCACGAAAAAAAAAGTTACCACACGGAGATGGGGTTGGGGTGGGAATGGGGTTGGGGTTGGGGGTGAGAATTAGCTCTGGCACATAACCGAAAAAAGCGCAATGAAAAGCGTCACCACACGGAGATGGGGTTAGGAGTGGAAGATAGGGATGGGAGATAGGGGTAGGAGATTATGGTAAGATATAGGAGATAAGAGATATGTTGTACGTTCAACGTTCAAATTACAACTTCAAAATAGTTTAAGGGCCCAAATTCTTTATAAATTGTTTTTAAAAAAAAAATTAAAGCGCCACCCCATAGATTAAGTTTTTCCCTATACGTTGTGAGAATTTAGTAAATCTACCCCTTATAAGGGGGTCAGAGCACAACTAGTTTTCATGCGTTTTAGACCAATATGCGGTGCTAAATTAGACATGTGTAGATTTGTTGACGAATTGTCTGGGTGTCTTAGGGAGACGATTTTCGATTAAAAATTTGGTATGCCTAAAATAAATTCAAATGTAATTCGGGAATTATCATTGAATTTTCAAAAATAATTTTTGAGGTCTTCAAAAGAGAAAATTGAAAATCGCCTTCCTAAGAAACCTAGTAAATTTGTCAATGAATGCATACATATTTTAAAAATTAAAATCCAACATTGAGAACTGAGAAGTATGTCTTATTTAGCACCGCTTATTAGTCTAAAACGCATACAAACTAGTTGAGCTCCGACCTCCTTGAGGGGTATATTTACCAAATTCTTACAATGTATGGAGAAAAACTTTATCTATGGGGTGGCGTTTTTATTTTTTTTTTTTTGATATCTCTACTTAATATTTGTTTTCAAAAACCATGCTGCATCCCCCTTTAACATATTTGACTAGTTATTACTTATAAAAAGTACATTTTTAAAGGGGTAGGAGGTATTCACCTACAATGAAGGCAACCTTTTTTTATTACTATGAACAAATCGCGGCTTCCGTAGTTGTATTCAAATTAACGTTTTACAATCTATAAATTAATTTTATAACTAATTACAAAAAACAATCACGGATTAAAAAATGTACGATAGCAGATACAATTTACCAATATAAATATATTTTGTTATTTACAAAATAAATGACTATAGAAATGATACCATTTTACCGATATTATTTTTCAATAATGAATATTATAATAATGCATTTAAAAATATTAATAATTTAATAATATTTTAATTGTACGCCCATAATTAATTTTTGTTACAATGTTTATAACAATTTTTGTTTTAGACATTAGATTATAGATGTAATATAATAATCTATAAAAATGATTTCTCTTTTTAATTTTGACAAAATCATTATTATTTATTATTAATAGTAAATACATAATCACACACAACGTGGTTGCCATCCAAACCACGTACATTGTAACACGCAAATGGCAAACGACTAATAAAATCATTTTTTTTCATAAATTAATATTATTAAAATTATTAGAATTGTAGACTAAACTGTACTTAAATGTTACCCAAACTACTATGGATTTTCAAAATCTCAAATATATATTATGCTTAAAATTTGTTTGCCCAAGCCTCGACAGCATGTTTAAAAATTAATTACACTATCAAATCATTAAGTGGAATAAAGCTACAATTAAGCGTTGTTAATTATGTTAATTGTCTTTTTTCGATCTTGAAGGCCATGGTCCTTTCTGGTCTCTCTTAATCCATTGCGTTGCGATATAGTGCCTAGTTAATATTCACCTAATTTTACAAACACTGAAGCCAAAAGTCAATACAAATACAAAATACAAATTTTAATAATATCAGACACGATTCTACGAAAAAATGTTTAGAGGTGTGTTGAACAAATGTTTGATACATAACATTGATGTAGAAGATGAAAAGCAACAAGACATAATTGTATGGCTTGTATCACTTTTGATAAACAAAAACTGATCTCCAAAAGTCAAGAAATTCAACAGCATAATATAAATGCTTTTAATTTACAACTTAATAACGTCACTAAAAAAAGGTGTAATCTATACTCTTTACCGTTGATTTAAAATTGAATCACTGGTTTAGTAACTAAACTATTCATTATTCCTTTTTTATGATACTAATGTTTTTCACATATTAATCGTAATTAAAAAACAACTTTTATATTGTTACAATTATTTTAAGTTATTGTCCATTTTAAGTGACTCTCAGCGTCATACAAAACCTAAAAATAATTGTTTATAATACCAGTCACAACGAATTAAGAACAATATATTCGAAAATCATCTGAAACCCTTGGGCCTCAATTTAAAGCAATCACCTACCTTCTAAATAATTATATATTACTATCGGATTTATACAATTATTCATAAAAAAAAATTGTTTATAAAATTATTCTATCTTTTTTGTCTAACTTTTCTATTTCGAATTTATAGCCTACCGTATTCAATTATGTATGTCCACTAATTTAATATAACCATTACAATGGCCTTTGTTGCCAAAGATTTTTAACCAATATTTAAAATAAATATTGTATATTAAAATGTGCAATTGATAATAAAGAATACAATATAAAACGAAATTAACGAATTTAATAGATTAAATTCATTATGTACAATAACCCAATTCTGTGCTCCTTAAATTTATCAGTAGCTAGTCAAAAACTTTTGTGTAGAGTTGGATTCAGTGGCGGGATGGACAGTGTTCGGCCCACTACAGAAATTAACTCATTCGGCCCGCAAGACAGTACTAGTGACAACATACATTTAAATAGTAATTTGTAATTTTCCCGTTTGTACACCAAATCTAAGACATACAAATAGGTACTGACAATAATATAATATATTTTCATAATATAATCACAGGACTCGGGAGTCACGGAAGTCACTATAGAATTAGAGTTTAGAAGTGTTTGGCGGTAGCACGGGATAAAACCCCGCCTAACATAAAAAAAAAAAACTCCTCTTAATTGTGTCAAATACACAAAATATAAACGATTACCAATGGTGTTTGTTGTGTGGCCAACACCACATATTATTAAGGAGTAAATGGTTCGGTTAGGTTTGACCACGTTGATTTTTAAATATTAATTAATATATTTGACGATTGTAGAAGTTGTTGTAATATTCCGACATTATATAATTATTTTATTTTTATTTATTCAATATAATATTATATCATAGGATTGTCTACCTCAATTTAGAAGAAACGT